CCATTCGTATAGCAGTTCAGCAAAAATTGACTATTTTTTCTGCTAATCATATAATTTCACGATTAGTTTTCGTATATTAAAAAGTTTCTCAAGAAATCAGTTATTGACAGACAATTCATGTCTATTCTGCAGTATATGACCATTGAATGGGAGTTTAATCTTCAAGAAAACTAATAAATAAGTAATAAATTTTAATAATCATAATAAAAATATTAAGTGAAAATGTGTTTTCGTTTGCGAAATATTTCATAAGAATCCTTAAAACTTGGGAATTAATTAACACAACAAAAAGTGAAGGAAAAACTCAGAGAAAAAAGTTTTTATATTGTTTTTCATGTGATCACAAATCATAATAACAATAAACTGTATTTTGAATTAAGTGTTCAAAAAATTCTTTCAAAAGTTTGTCTTATTTTATGAGTTTGTTGTGAGAAGTCGTGTAGTTTTTTCAGAAGACTTTTATAATTATTTTTTGCTAAAAATAATATATTTTCCACAAATTTTTATAACAGCTTTGCGTAACAGAAGTCCAATAACTTCTAGATTATCAAATACAACACAATTTGTCTGAAAATAGCATATAAATAGTGTTTTATTATATACTTTTTACTAGTTAAGTACCTTTATTAAATCTTTTTTTACTATAAAAACCAGTTTTAGGTATTAAATAATTTTATCTCCAAAACTAATTCCGATATTTATTCGACTAATTATTGTGTGAATTAACCGCAAAAATGGATTCATTAGAATTGGATTCTCTGGAAGATAATACCATTAATAATAACGACAAGCATTGCAATAATAATAGCGATAAATACAAATACTGTCCGTCAAAGACCAATGGCTTTCATTGTATGAATAAATTCTTTTCGCACGAGAAGAATGACTTCTGTGCCGATTGAGATGAGCTAAACAGATTGAGACTCGAGTCGAGGTAAGGGTAGCTTCACTTACTAAACTTTTTCATTCGGTAGGAAAGGATAGTAGAGTAGATTATTTCAGTATAATATTGTCAATAATAGTTTTATCGTATCAAATTTCATACCAATTTACTCAATTCTTAATATATTCACAGTTATTGTGGCAAATGGATTGACATTTAATTAATTATAAAATATAGATTAATTGATTAGTTTCTTATCCGATGGTAAGCACTTGAGGTTTGAGAGAAATTAATTAAATACTTTAGAAATATTAAATCATAACTATCGATGAATTAGGCTTGAAATTAATAAAAATAAAATTCGAAAAATAATATTAAATTTAAGTTTAAACACTATTTTGTTTATTAGATTTGTGTACAAACTGTGATCTCTTTTACGATAAAATTCTAGTGAAAAATAAATAAAATGTTTTTAAAGACTATTTTAAAACTCTTTAAAAAGATTAGATTCAATGAAGAAAAGAAAAATACTATAATTTATGTGAAGAAATCCTAACATAAAAAAATATATTGTAATCTAATTTAAGTCATGTGTTGTTAAGTTTATTGTTCACAGATCAGTTACGATAATAGCTGATATAAATCAATAGTGTTGTCATAATTAATTGACAAAATTTTTATGTAATATGCATATAAAAATTGATTTATTATAGATTTATACAATTTGGGGCATAACAAAAACAAACATAAATGTCAAATAATTATGACTTATATAGCGTATTATTACACCTGTTTCATGGCGTCAATTTAAGCAATAATTTACTGTCAAAACTGATCGCGAGTTTCAATCGTCTATCTATTTCACAAAACTTAATGAACAGTATTATCGACTCATTTCCTTCGCTAACAGATCTGAACCTAAGCTATCAATGCAGTGATAATAAACACAATGAATTACAATTGGATAATAAGTGCAATAAACTTGATTTTCACCAGTCTCAATTAAAATACGTTAACTTAAGTGGCAATCGATTGAGTCAATTAAATCACGTCAACGGCTGTACGAGTCTTCACACAATTATATTGCACACAAACTCCATGACCACAATACCGCTGTTCAAGTGCTGTCAACAGCTCCAGGTCCTCGATATCAGCAATAATTGTTTCGATGAGAAACTATTAACAGGTAACAACACCCTTTTTATTTCAATACTAGCTCTACATAATATTAATTTTATTCGTCACATAAATAAAAACTAATTAATACCTTCGTATCAATAAATAATGATAAATGAGCTTTTTATTATAACCAGCGAAAGTATACAAATAAAAATAATAACATTAATAACAATTAACAAAAAAGTTTTTAATTTTACTTTTTGTTTTGTTTTCGCAATGCTTTAGCGTTTGTGGCGATAGAAGTATTTTGTTGATATAATTAGTGTTATAGTATTGTATGGGAATAATGGGAATAATCACATTTTAGCTGTAATTTTCGGCGTAAAGATTTATTTGATAAGGACATGTAGTAGCGATGAATGTAATGTCTTATGACATAACATCAAAATTAACATAAAATTTGTCTCATGAGAACAGACAGACTCCGAGCCCACAGGTCTTTAAGACATAACCAAACATCTCATTGCCATTGAATGTGTGAATCAATTACTCAGTCAATAGTTAAGTGAATAATTGTCTCTATTTTGTGATAAGACGAGGAATTGATCCCATGTTACGCTGTTTTGTACACTATTTATGTTGAGTTTATTGAGTAAATAACATGATTTAATACTATTCATAGATTTTTATTTCGGAATTATTTTTAACATTTGAAGTTTAATTAGATTTCTATCGCAAAGACATGTTTTCTCTCAAACATTAAGATTTATATAAAATATTTTTGTCTAAAGAGAAACTTCTCGTGTGAAATGAATTGAGATTTTTAATGAAAAATATCGTAGTATTCACTGTTAGATAATATTAATACTACTTTTAGATGAAAGCATGAAATGAAAAGTTAAAATTCAATTAAATTTAAAATATTGTCTTATTATTTCAGTATATTGTGTTATATTATATAAAATATTATGAAATACTTGTTCCCGTATTTGTTAGCTTTAAAAAAGTTTTTAATTAACTTTATAAAAACTTTTTATTTTGTATTTTGCATTGTTTTGCTATTCAATACAGAATAGATGCGATCGACTGATAATGTTTTTAGATTTATTAGAATCTGTTTATAATTATTAGATATGATTATATAATATGATATACTATGTTTTGTTGTTTATTAAAAATTTAAACTTCAGGCAAATGAACTCGGAGTATATTTTAAAAAGCGATTTAATAACAAACACATTTATATTGTAATAAAAATATCTGTTAAATAATTCTTTTAAATCGATATGAATTACAAATAAGGTTTATATTTAATGTATTTTTATTACGAGAGAAAACTAACCAAAATTATTAATACACTCTCTATTAACTAGGTTTGACTGTACGATATAAATATAAGGAAAGCAAAAATATTTTTTAATCATTTAATAAGACATTTAATATATAATATGCTATTTAATGATAAACTGTTTCTTGAATTTTTGTTGTATAACCTCTCCATAGCCTTTGCATGAGTAGCCGAACACACAAAATGTAATTTATGTAAATAAAACAGTTTCGCCTTTTTCTGGTGAATAAAATTAAATAACACTTTAATTGGACGATAGGTATATAATTTGGTTTATGTGACCACTGTTTACTAAATTATAACATAACTTAAACCGTTTTAATGCTTATTAGCTATACGGTAAGCCCGGTGTTAGACTACCAGTTGCACCTTGTTATTGTTAAACGGACTTATTTTAGTACTCTATTCTTATAACATTGTATTGGAATTCCTCTGAATTCAAACGAAAATATTTTTGCCAAATATTTTCTCTCATCTCATGATTTTCATGAGAGAACGTGAAAAATGGGATAAAAATATTTTAGACCAAAGTTTTTAAAAGACTAACGAATAGAGAGCAGGAAATGCTTTCTTATAACACATTCAATACTTACTTTGTTTGCGCTTATTATAACTCAATTCAAACCGTACTCTCTCTCTCTCTCTCTCTCTCTCTCTCTCTCGCATTTGTTGCGAAAATACATTTATAATACTAGGAATGCGAATACCTTTAAACTATTATCTGATCCTAAGATCTCTTTCTCTCTGACCACCGAATTTGGGAAAAGCAGTGAATAAATGAATATAACGATTGAAAATTTATATTTCAGATAAGATTTGTGATAAAAACTAAATTAAAATATTAGTTGCAATTGTTATTACTCTTATATTTGGGATTCAAATATAAATAAGTATACAGGTATATTTTTATATATATAGAGAAGAGAGAGAGAGAGAGAGAGAGAGAGAGAGATGAAACAAAAGTTTTTATTATAATTATAATTATGCATCGAGTAATTTGTATTTTACATTAAATTGTTTGGTACGAGTTGTAAACTGAAAATTGTGTAATAAAATAAAATATTAATAACAGTAAACGTGATTTCGAGGCATAGATAAGCGAAACATAAATATTCAATAAATTCGTGAAATAATTTGCGAAATGAATACAAAAGGATTATTTCAATTATTACACAAACATTTCTAAAAATATTTTAATCCTTTACTCTATTAATCAGTACTGTTTTTGTTAAACAATACAATTGTTTGTAATAACTATTTTCAAAGGTAATAATCACATAAATTTAGGATTAAATGTAAATTTAGGTTATATTTAATTTTGGTTATGGGGTATTGGGTTTGCATTGAATGTTGAGTCCATATAATTAGAATTGAATTCATATATAATACTAGAAACAAACAAAACTTATCGATTGATTTGTTCATTGAATAACAAGGGATTATAAGTTATTAGTGCCTAACATATACTTAAATACAGATTAAATTTATTTATATGATTTAATAAATTATACCTTTCAATACACACCGACCTTCAAATAAGCACTCATTTATTCATTGACTTTCAAACAGATATTGTTAACAAAAACACAAATCATCAAACTTAGATATTTAATTATCAAACTTTACTTGATACGATATTTAGGCAACAATCTGGACATACTATTCAACAACTGTTCATCGCTGAAGCACTTGGATATGATAGCGTCGGGAGGTTTTAACGCCCGGAACGTGATCAACAGGTCTCAGTACCTGACAGTTCCCGTGAATGAGCGGCTCATACACTTCGTGGACATGGGTGCTGTGAATCAATGTCAGATTGCCATTTGCAACTCATTCATCAACTCGTCGGCGTGCGTGGAGGTGCTGTCCGAGTCGGAGCTGATGGTGTGTCTCGTGAATGGCACCAAATACGCGCCAATCATTAAATCAAACTTCAGCTCAATATTGGAGACAGAGATGGGTTGCATCGAAACCCGCGGCGATTACCTCCGAAACAGCATATTATCGATGTTTAAGATATTAGGCGATAGAAAGTGTGAAAACCTGAAGAATGTGAACATAATTATAGCTCATTTGATATTAGATACCAACACGGGTTCAGTAGTGGTGAAGTTGGCTACCTGTGGCCAATGGACCAGTTTGAGGCAGGTGCCGCTCACGGACCCCCTGTGCTCTCATAATAATCATAATCATAATAATAATAACAATCATAATAATAGCAGTAATAATAGCCGTTCGCCGAAAATTATAAATTTATGTTCAAAACAATATTCAGATAATGGGAAGCCTTTAACGAATGGCTGTACGCGTGAGGAGAACGGCTTCATCGGAGATCCAATCTGTCACGAGTTGACGCTAACGGCCGATAAGAGGCAAATGTGGGCCCTTTTGATGGGTATTAACATTGGGGATCACGAGGAAGAGTCGGCCACTCAGTTGTTTGCATCCAAAGAGTTGACGAGTTTGACCGATAAGTTGAAGCGATTCACTGAAGTAATCAATTCAACCAATAATTCACTCAATAATTGTGATGATTGTGATAATCACTGCTTCGGAGCCAACTTTCTCGCACTCGCTATTCATCCGAAACTCATTCAAGACAATAGGTTTGCATTCAATTTTAATTTGCATTCAACTTTTTCTCACGTTATAATACATTTTATCTAATTAAATCATATTTGTAATTTAATGGATTAACTTAATATTTGTATAGTCTTTATGTCAAATGTTGCAGATTTATCGGTTTATTATTCAAAACAATTTATGCATTTAACAGTTTGTTAAACAAAAATCTCATTTAGAAGTGTAATTATCAAATGAATATTTAATGATTATGTTGTCTTTTATTTCCGATCTGTTTGTTCATAATTTAATTTATTTTTTAACCTTTGCTTCCGAACTCAATACTAATCACTAAATATATACATTTATTTGTATGAGACTATGAGTACAGTATTGTTTGTAAGTTCATACAGTTATGCAGAATTAATATATTGAATAAAATACAGGTTTTGACAGAAAAATATTCACTCGTAATTGACCGATAAGTTGAAGCGATTCACTGAAGTAATCAATTCAACCAATAATTCACTCAATAATTGTGATGATTGTGATAATCACTGCTTCGGAGCCAACTTTCTCGCACTCGCTATTCATCCGAAACTAATTCAAGACAATAGGTTTGCATTCAATTTTCATTTGCATTCAGTTTTTTCTCACGTTATAATACATTTTATCTAATTAAATAATATTTGTAATTTAATGGATTAACTTAATATTTGTATAGTCTTTATGTCAAATGTTGCAGATTTATTGGTTTATTATTCAAAACAATTTATGCATTTAACAGTTTGTTAAACAAAAATCTCATTTAGAAGTGTAATTATCAAATGAATATTTAATGATTATGTTGTCTTTTATTTCCGATCCGTTTGTTCATAATTTAATTTATTTTTTAACCTTTGCTTCCGAACTCAATACTGTATCACTAAATATATACATTTATTTGTATGAGACTATGAGTACAGTATTGTTTGTAAGTTCATACAGTTATGCAGAATTAATATATTGAATAAAATACAGGTTTTGACAGAAAAATATTCACTCGTAATATCACTAAATATATACATTTATTTGTATGAGACTATGAGTACAGTATTGTTTGTAAGTTCATACAGTTATGCAGAATTAATATATTGAATAAAATACAGGTTTTGACAGAAAAATATTCACTCGTAATGAATGACTACTAATTCATTTGCAAAACTCGATTCTATTGTATTCACAGTCTATTAGTAATTCAAAGGCCATAACATAATCTGAAAATATGATAATTAGTGAAATAATATGATTATTACTTTTGACTACTCTTTCGAGAAGAGTTACAAAAAACAACTCATTTCTTACTAATTCTTTCCGTAATTTAGTTAAACTTTTCAACTCATTATCATATAATTATTATTTAATTATGATTTGTGTTGTAATCGAAAAACAATATATTTATTTTTCATGTATTCACATAATTTGCGAAACATTTTAATCATTTGTTTGCATTTTGATCGTATATTTACAGCACGTGTGAAGAGGAATCGAGTCTCAATTCTTCGAGTTCTAACACCAGTGATACCAACGACTCGGAGCACTCGGAAAAGTACCGGAGCTGGGAGTACATCCTCGAGGAGAACCACAAATGTCTGTTCAAGAAGGAGTTGGAAGCACTCAAAGACGTGGACACCAATAAATTTGATAGCATTTCCAGTCGTAAACTCAAGTCAAGTAATACTCCTATCATTTCATTGCAACAATTCATAACCAGAAGCGAGAAATACAAGAAATATGATTCAAACACTTTTAAAGTTTATAAGATTTAGATTTATTATATTACTGTATCACACTTTTCAATAAGATTAATATATTTTTAATTATGCATTGAATTTAATATATTTTATGTGCACCATGTATTATATTGTAACAATTGATTCAAATTATAAAATTGCCAAATATTTTATGTAATGAAAGCAAAGTATCGTGAACATTTTTCATAAATTGTTTCTCAAATAAAGAAAATTTTATAAATTAAATGCAAAACACTGAATACTTTCCCAATGAAATGATCTCTTTGTGGCACGTCCTCAGACATAACCATCTGTGGTTTGCCTACTTCGGGAAAGTCTGATTCAAAATAATCCGATTTGATGGACCGCTTCGTTCGCTTAGGGGGAGCCACAGGGGGGCACCCGAACATAGTCTTTAAGGTGAGCGCATAGTCACCCAGGGTCTATTGGATTCAAAACTCACATCAAACAAATTGTCACAAATGTATACTCGTAATGTAACCCATAACTAACCCGTCTCTCAATGCCAATATCCTTGGTGCCCCCATTGTGACTCATTTGCCACACCTGATCCTCATAGTCTCGTCCAATATAGGCAACCTGTCCGGCAATATATTTCTTGTCGCCCTTCATGAACATACCGATCAAACTGCCGCTGAAACAGAAGCCTTTTTGCCACAACCTTTTGACGTCCTTATCGCGCGGCCATTCGTTCACGTTATGGATCATTGTCCGCATGTTTAGGTGAGTAATACAATACCTGTCCGCACGCTTCCGTGTCGTGTCCGGGTCTATGTATTTCAAACCTATTGAGCGTAAAACGTATTGGATTTCTAAATCTCTTACTATTTAATGAAATGATGGAAAAGCGATTCAAACCGAGATATAAGATGTCATTCTTGTTGTCGAAGAGGGCGGCCACGAACTCCCTGTTCGCGAGATCACTCACTACCTCCACATCCATTGTGTTTCTATTGAGTTCCGGAAGGAATTTGTCGGTATTTCTAAAGTGTTGGTGCTCTGCAAAGCCCAACGGATTTTGGCCGCTTTGGTCCCATTCAATGGTTTGGTTGTAATAGACAGGAACGGCGGTCTTGTTGTCAAACATGACAGTCAAACGGTCCCACATTATAGCCGATCGATAGCACGTCCGGTGCAGGTCTTCGGCATATGTGATGCAATTGATCTCTTGGAAGGAGAAGGCACTGAACCGCAGCTTCTCGTTGTCATAACTGCCATACTTTGCCTTCACATTGTCTGATGAGTCATACAAGTGATCATAAGTTGGTCTCAAATCATATACAAGTGCGCAAAGAGTGGACATACCTCCCAACCAGTGTCTGGCGTACGCGAACAGTGTCCAGTCCTTCAGGAAGCCTCCCTGACCGCCATCCATGCGCGGGTCATATTGTCCATAGGCTGGGAATGCCATCTGCGAATAGGGCGCGTAGTTCTGCGGCGCTGTGTTAAGGCCGGGATAGGGCGGCGGCGCCTCCATTGCGTATATGAAGCCGGCGGGCGGGGGCGTCGAGAATACCTGAGTGGGTAATGCGAACCCACAGTTGTAGGCGGGCTGGTAGACATTGGGGGGCGCCTATGGGGGAGATGTAGACAATTAATGAGCTGTTGATCGGATATGACAATAGCTGGCGATGTATGCCATACCTGATAGTACTGTCCGGCGGCGGCCGTATAGGGGGGCGGGGGCTGGAACTGCATCTCGCGGGCGGCGATGTTGGCCTGTTTGGCGGCGCTGTCGAGGGCCTGACCGAACTCGATGGCCCCCCCGTGACTGAACTTCAGCTTAAACACCACACCATTGGGTGCGTCGGGCTGTGACTCCGGCCTAACCTTCCCTTTGATGAAATTGGCGCCGAAGACGGGCTGTTCCAGCGAGAGGTCACTCATGGCATAAAAGGGCGCCGAAAATGACTTCAGACTCGAGTTTTGGTTAATCGGTTGCGATGTGAAGACAATGCGATGTGTCGTCAGATATAGTCTTCCGTTTGCCTGACATTCGCCGCCAAATCGTGGATCAGATGGAAAGGGAGAGACAAATGGGTGGTTAGTGAGCGTGCAATGAGTGGTAAATGAGGTGATAATGGCATACATTCTGCGATTTGGTCTCAAAAGTGATGTTCACGTTATCGCAGTACAAGAGTATGAGTTCACCGCTGAAGAGGACGACGCCTCCCGACTCGTGATGACTGGCGTTGAAAGTGGCCATTGATTTGATGGATCCGTTGGTGTGTCTGGCAATCGATGTCTTCGTGGATGTCTTAGTGGATGCCAACCATAGGCCTCACTGTCACTGTCCGTGTGTTTTGTGTTTTGTTTATACAATCAATGAATGACTCAATCGTTGCAGTCGTCACTGAAATCAATGCGAAACCCATTCATAGAATACGTTACCATTTGTTACGTTCAAGTGTTGCCCACTTTTGACACAAACTTTTTTACCAGAATTTTGCATTTTTACCAGAATTTTGCATTTGTTGTGAATTCAGTTATATTTGTAATTGTATTCGTAATTAACTTATTTTATAGGCATTTATTGTTTGTTGTAATATTATTACTTTGTTTATTAGGTATTATGTAATTCTATACATAATATGAATTTCTTTTTGATGTTTATTATTTAATGCGAAATTATTGTTTAATATAACTATTAGTTTCATGTAGAATTTATCAATAGCATAATAATAGCACAATATATCGATTTTAAAGTACTGAACCAATATTCATAGATATACAAACATACCTGTGACATTTGAGTTTATTATAGGACATGCCTATTAATTCCCATTATTATACTGTATATACAGTACTGTATGTTCACATAATTGTCATTCAAATGACATTCCATCCGATGGTCCGACTGTCACCAGTAGTGCCAGTAATGGCACAAAAAGCCCAAATATACTCATCATTTTGCATAACATTTGGGTTTAAACTCAAACTTTGGATTCAATTGGCTTAAGATATTACGGTTGGGAAAGACTCGGAGTTTGTGTTTTGTGGTACAGAATAACTATACATACGATCACTCAATGAATAGTCTATGAATCGTCTCTTTTAATACAATTTTTACTTTTGTGTTAACTATTCACGAGATTTCAATCATAATTCTCAGCCAGTATTGCCTTACAGTTAATACAATCCTTACAGTTTTCCCAAGTGTTGTATAAACTACTGTACCGTATATTCTGTAAATTTGACAGTGTACAATTTCTTACTATTTAGCATAGGTTTACAATAAGAATATTAAATATTAATCAGATATATATACAGTAGTTCAGTAAAGCATTTAAATCGTCAATACTTTGTAAATATATTTGTAGAAACTTATGTTTGATTAAAAGATTTGTTAATCACTTAATTATTATATTATTTAGAAAATTCTAAATTACAATAAATTTATTAATAGATTATTCACTAAATTATTATAAAAGAAGTTTAATAAAATATTATTAATAATTTTTGTGAAATTCATTAATCATGTCATAATAAGTATTTAATAAATAACAAACATTTAGCATAAGTTTATATTGTATGTTTTACAAATAAGACTTATATCTAAATTATAAATTAATGTCTTAAACTTTTAAACCAAAGAATAACATTTTGTATAAATTATATTTATTCTTGAATAGCCTTCAAATGTATTAATATAATTGTTATAAAATTTATAGGAATGAATAATTTATTGTCAATAGAAAATACATATAATATCGAGATATTGTTAAACAATAAATTGTAAATATTATTATATTTGTATAATATATGAGAAATATTGAACAAAATTGAAAGTAGATAATAATCAATAAAAGTTAAATCCATAGAATAATATTCTGAATATTATTCTGTAGCAAATATCCTTGACTACAAATTTTAAAATCTGAAGTTTAAAACTGATCGTTTAGATGGCAGTTATAATATGATAACTTTATATTTAATTCAAAAACTTTTTAAAACTTTATAAAATTCATTTGTTTTCAAAGTGAATTAAAGCACAATTTATTATACAATTAATATAAATATTTATAGCTAATATGCAATAATAAATTGTAAATTAGTATTATTTGCTAATAGCTTATTGTGGACATTATAACACAATGTGTTGACATTGAAATTCACACAACAGTATAATATCTAAAGACAAAACTTTTTTATCTAAATTACATCAGAATTGTATAAAAATTTTAAATGAAAATAATAGTGAGGGAAATGGATCTGGTTTAATTATAGCAACACTACGACCATAAATCATAGGAATGTGTATACTTTTAGTCTATTTTAGTCCCAAAAAAATTCATAATTTACAGCAAATATAGTGTGAATTAAATGATGTAATGAATTGATGGCTCGTCTGAAGGGTTAATAAATAGCATGAGTTCTACGAACCGATGCACTACTCGTGTATACAAATGAGAAATAATTAGTGTTTAGTATAATATAGTAGTGAAAAATTGGCCAAATTTTCTCTCCCCGTCCCCTCACAAGTCATGTCTTTGCGTGCATTTGTAATAAATAGCGTAAATTGTTTTGTTTTATCAAAATCTTAAGACATTTACGGCACACACCATACGAGTCGTGAGTTTCTCAAAACCAATGAAACAATTTTGTGTTCAATCCGTGAAAAGTTTTTAATTCAATGCAATCTTTTAATTCAATGATTTTTTGTGTGCTTTAAATGTGGTTTTAAATCAAATATTTGTTATTTGTCCAGAACAATAAAACAAATGCTTAATTGTTATAATTTATTTGATTGAATTAAAGCCAAATAACTTTGCTAGTAATTTATACACGGTATCGTATTATTAAAATACAATATATGTATTTTTATTTTGTATGTATTCTTAATTAGTTATGAATTTGTTTTGCATAATAAGAATAAAATACTACATCATTAGTGTAGGACAAGTAGTCATTGAAATTTTAATATTTTATAAAATATTATGATAATCATTTATGATGACATAATTTGATCAAATCTATTGATAACAGATATGATTAAGTAATGACTAAATCCCCGGACAGTAAGTAATGGTTAAACACTGTATTTGACTATATATTAACCACTAAGAAAACAAAGCATTTTATTCTAGCACAGTATTTGTAAATCCAGTTCAATATTATTTATATTTTTATAAAAGACGTGAAAATAGTTTGCAAGTATCATTCTTGAAATAACTCCCACTTTGTATTAGTTGTATATTAACTGCTATTACAAAAGAATAGGAGATTCCGTGACTACAAAGCAAAACCTCTAATAACTAAGTATTTAACTCAAAGAAATATGTAAATTAATGTAACGGCAGGTGTTCTCTACCTGTTCTCTCATTTTTCGCAAACCTTTTTCTCAAATATAAATTTCTTTACTTCTCTTCTAAATGTTAAGCAAAAACGAGATTTAAAATGATTTTCACAAAAGGAGTGCTTATTATGATTACAATACGAAAAGTAATAGATTTAAGTGTAAAACATTAAACTCAAGCGAAACCTCTTATAGTTTAATAAATTTTTGATCATTTTTTCTCTTTTTTTCTTTCCATTTATAATTTCTCATACATTTCTCTAAACTATTTTGTGGCACAATATAATTGCTCTGAAATAAACACATCCCTTCATATATGGTAGATATCGTGATTATAGTTACAGATTAATTTTTATTTTCAATTTTCTATTTAAGATTTTTCTCAGATTTAGTATTGTCTCGATTTGTATATTAATTTATGAGATTAAAATTAATGTATTAAATATATCTTGCTTAAAATAAATATTTAATTTAGCAAAAATACAATACAATATGATTTATAAATATTTTAAAAATTATATAATAAATAGTAGACATAATAGTTTTAAACAGAAAAAAGTAAAATAAAAATATGAATTAATTATACCTCATATTACAGAGCAAATAGACGTGATATGAGTTATTTGTTTTTAAATCAATGAGTTTCCGTTGTTTTATTTGTAATTTAAATTTTTATGTAATTAACCAAAAAGTGTGTTTTTATAACATGAAGTTTATAACTCTTACACGTAATAGAGTATTGACTCGGAAAACAGTATTTTGCGATACTTTTGGTCTATTAAATGAAGTGTCCGTCAGATGACTATCAAAATTAAATAAAACCGAATCTAATGATACGAATGCAGGAAAATTAAATTATTATGAAATAAATCAAAGTTAAGATAACACAATGAAACGAATGCTTTGTTTGAAACTTTTTTAAAGATAACAATAAGTACAGAGATATTAATGATTAATATTTGGAAGCATAGGATCTAAATGTGAAATCACTTGTCATGACTTTCGTCACACAAACACAACAAACGATTAAAAAATTACATTTTTCTCATTAATTAATTAAATGATTAGAATATATTTTGGCTTGAAATCCCAAATTCATAAATATTAATATGAAAATCCAAAAAAAATCGGGAGAAAAATACAATAAACTTAATTACAATTAGTAATTTATAATACATTAAGGTTTGGTTTCGATGTATAGATCTTGAATGGGAAGAGTTAATCAACTTTTATGTTAAGTTTTTAGATAAAAAAATCGGGAGAAAAATACAATAAACTTAATTACAATTAGTAATTTATAATACATTAAGGTTTGGTTTCGATGTATAGATCTTGAATGGGAAGAGTTAATCAACTTTTATGTTAAGTTTTTAGACTCTTTCGTGTGTTTTGCAAAAACTATACTGTTTTGTCTGATGAAAGGTAAGTCTCATTTGTAAACTACATAAAAAAGTTTTGTTTTCGCACTTTGTATGTGAGTTATTGTCAGATAATTTGTGCTTCAAAACTACAACTCCTTATTGAAGTTGTCATTCAATTATTCCTGTTTTCACAACTTTTTCCATTACATAATAAGTATGAAATCATTTCACTTTATTTGTCATTTAAATTATTATTTTTCAAAAATATTTTGCAAATAATTGTATGAATAAATCTCTTTCATGAATAATTCTTATCAATAATCTTTTTATTGCCATAAATAGTAATTTACGAATTTTCTATTATTTTTTATTTGGTTTGATTTGAATTTAATTATATTTTTTTGAGTAAATAGTGAATACGAGTATAACATTTATAAATGCAGAGTAATCTTAAAAGTTTATTTAAAACTTATTTCTAACTTCATATGAGAAATGATTGTATTGTTTCAAAACTCTTTTTTATTGTAAACCAAATTATATTATATTTATTGATGTTATAAACGCTAATAATAGCCAATACTAATACAGCCAAATCACGCCAACCAAACACATGCAGTTTCCCTTAATTTATATTTATCTCAAATATAATATTTAATATTAAACATTAAAACTGAACTATACTTGTATTGAGAGTATATGTATTTAAATTGTATAACAAATATAGAGTTCGAGATGAGAGCAACTAATTTGATATATAATAAGCCTTTTAAATACAATTTTAAAATCATTATTTTCATTACAGCGAATCGTTTGTATTAAATTTAATACTAAATTAACGGGTATTGCGTGCCATCAATAGAGGGTAACAGAAATATATTAAAAACTTTAATTGTTTTGTTTGGATGAGAATATACCGTATAGTGTCTGATGTCTCATATGTTTAATAGACGTGTTTCGAGAGCATTATTATCTCTCCAATGGGTTTGAAGTTATCATTTTCTGTTTGCTTATAAATTAATGTTTCGTTTATTTGTTAAGAAGAATGCTTTTATGTATTATTAGTTTTATTATGATTTGAAATTTGAAACAAGAGTTATGTGTTTCTTATCAATCGCTCATTTGTTTGCCCAAAATTGGCAATAATTGTTAAATGACTTAACAATTATTCATAAGTAAATGTTTATTATTATTATTATGAATACAACGAAATGTGATAATTGTTAGGAATTTCCCTTTAGTTTCGCTAACTTTCTTAAACTCAGAATATTTTCCAAAAGTTATATTAAAGCATGTCTTATGCAACGGAACTTTTTATATAATATTTAAAACTTTTTTAATCATTTTGTAATAAAAAAGTATTAAAAGCATAACAAAATAATGTACAGGTATTAGAAAATCTCATCATTTTTACGGTACAATGACTTTCCGCGTGTATTGTATTAATAATTATAAAATGTATTGTATTTTTACTTCAGAACCAAATTAATGAGTGGTGTTTCGGTTTGCGTTGGTATGTATTGACTGGGAATAGGATAACAGCCAAACACCTGCTTATATGCCTGCAGTTCCTGAGACTACTCGAAATTACTTATTATTGGCTCAAAATTGTTCACTTCTTTACCCTATTATTTAATGTGCAAATCGTAAGTGTAATCGCTATTAATTCAATCTGTTGGACATGAATTGGAAAATCTTTTTCATATTTTGTTGATTATATCTCATACTATATCTCTCGACTCGACCTTCAATTACAAACATTATATTCGGTTTATTCTCTCATTTTTCATAAAATTTTTAAGCTCTCTATTCGCTGAATAAAGTTATGTCTATATTATTGTATTTTATAGCTCTTTCAGTAATTAAAGCGTGAATTTGTATTTGTGTTCACTTTAAGACTGCAATCAATTGAACACAAAATCTAATAAAACAATGAAATCTCAAACAAAAAGAAGAAAATATTTTCGAAATTTCTCTTAAGAGAGGAATTTTTATATACAAAATATTTTCCTAAAATCTTAATTGCAGCCAAAAATGGATTAATATTTGTTGTGATTTTAAATATACTTATTATATGTTTAATATAAATTAAATTTTTGTGGATGAAATGAGTAATTAAGAAACGATTTGTTAATTAAATGTTAATTCAGAGAAAATATGAAGAATCGGAGTCTAACGGCAGAAAGAAGTCCCGATTCACGGCGAGTCTGATCCGCACCCATACCAGCGATTCAGATCAGGAGCCGGAGGAAGACAGCGGTTATGAGGCGAAGAGTGGCATAACCGACACGACACAAATGGATCCGTCCAGAGCTGTGAGCCGGGGGTCTGTCAGCTCATCCCTCAGACCATTCAGCTCTGACTTCGAGAGCGCGTGGGGTTCGCAGGAACTGCTCGAAAGTGACTCTTCGGTGCGCAAGAAGTCATCGAAATCTCGGTCGTCCGATGAGGACAGAGAGCACGACATGTTTCAAGACGCGGAGGAATCGCTGGACACTATCAGACAATACGGAGACTTCGAAGCGGGTATGTCTTCACAAAGGCTTTTATTACACTATAGTCTTGAATAAGATTTGAAATTTTCCTGTTATTAAGAAATCTCTGCTTATTTTTCTATACACTATACGCCTATACGATAAAAATAAGTGAATATTTATTTATTATTTTATGGTGTTTTTAAACTATTTTTTTATTTAGCATCTATAAAGTATTTTTAGTTTTTAAAAGTTTTTTAGCACATAATTAGCTTTGGTTTATTAACATTAAAATATACATGCAACAATTCTTAGCCTATAACTAATTCATCACAAATTGATTTTAACGTATAATATGTGCAATTTATAAAAATATGAATTTCAATTAATTATTCATTAAAACAGGATTTTGTTGAAATAGATTTATATTATGTATTTATAAGTTGTATAAACATTACTTTAAATTAGTATAAAATATCTTGCATATAATATGTCTTTATATGAAAATAAGCATTTAAACCAAAAAGCAAATTATGGATTCATTGCGTTTTGCATATAATTTCATAGCAAATACTTTTGTAATTCAAACGAATCTATTATCACTTCTAATGATCAGAAATCATTTTAATTAATTCAGACGAATGTTTAAAAAACACTTTATATTACAATTATTAAGAAATAAAACTTTATCCGTGAAGATAGCAAATTAACCCAAATTGTGTACACATTATGTTTAACATGTAATCCATACGATTGCATTGAAATTACAATATTCGTTAGGTTTTCTGGATATACAGTACCGTAGAGTTTAGTAAACAATTTTAAAAGGAAGTCATAAATACATAATGAATCGGAAAAAATAAAAACTAAATAATTTTTCTGAAATAAAAACGGAAAATTAAAAAAAGTAAATAACAATAACTGTTGGAAAAAAGTTGAGAATTGTTTGTATAACTCATAACTGAATTACAGGTGGAATCGAGAGGCCGGCCGAGTATGAAGTGATAGATTTGCCTCCGACTCGGATTGATGTCAAAGATAAAGCCAGTGATAAGACGCCAGATAAGAGCGGTTACGGCAAGGAGTCGACGAAACCGTCGCTCATGAAAACGGCTCGAAAGCCACGACTGGAGGGCCGCAGGAGTACATCGGATCCCGTGAGGGACCGACTCTCAGCCCAGAGTATACCGTTGTCGTCAGTGGTGCGAAGGGGCAGCACAGCTATGCCCTACCATTTCGCTATGCCTACCGTTCCAGTGGTCGGGTATATGAAGCCTACAGTGGCTTCACTCCGGGCTCGCTATGAAAGAGAGGAGATGGAGGGCACGGCCTCTGCCAGAGATAGGTATAGGATCTCCGAGGAAGACAGCTATCGGTGAGTCTTACTATAGACTTAATTATTGTTTATTCAGTATTCATGCAAAACGTTTAGCACAACATTTAGTTGTTGTTAATTATATGCATTTCTCTGGTTGTTGTTGGCCTTCATTAAACTCAATAGCGTTTTGTTATAAAATAATTAACTTTTGATGACTTCTGTTAGAAAAATACCAAATATGGTATAATATAATTGAAACAATTGCTGGCCTTTTCATAAAATATTACTGTTATTTGATTTCAACAAAACAGTATCCATTATAGTGTTTGGAATTTTGTATTTTGATTTAATAGTCATAAAAAGTTTTTATTTTCTGTAAGCTATTTATTTCCTTTAAAGATTAATTGAATTTAAAACCAATTCAAACACGACTTTAAACTACATTTTATTTTGAAAGCAAAATTGATTTATTTATGAAATTTTCGGGAATAATATCATATTAAATCAATTAAATCGTGAATAAGGCTTATTTTGAGATTCTAGCAAAAGTGATATAAATTAGATTACAAACGATATCTGAATTGAATAGAAATAAAAATATTTAATACATATGTGATTGGCGTAAAATTTCACATAAATTTCTTTTATGTTGAACTTTTAGGAAACTTTATTTATTACGAGAATTTGTTTGTATGGATATGAATTTTAAAAATACAAATTCCATTAATTTAATCATGAGTTCATCCATGAATTAAATGCTAATCTCATAGAAAATAAAGTTTAATTAAATTTTAGAAACAATAGTATTTATAACACATATCTCTCTTTCAATTGTTTGTATGAGTTTTTTGCGTGAGATTCAGAAATCGATAAAATACGAGAACTTTATTATTATATTAATTGAGAAATAGCTTTGTTTGAAGGAATATGTGTTTGAGAAAATGTTTTACACATTTCTGCTACAAAATACAAAACATAATTATATTGTGATAATAAATAAATTGTTCATTAATTTAAAATTATATATAATTATGAATAATAAGTGATATAATAGGGTACGAGAAAAAGTTACTTTTTTGGGGGAAATGCTAAAAATAGACAAAACTATTGGCATTATTTGCAGTGAAATTATAAAACAAAACATTTGATGTCAGTATCAGTAGAGCTGAGGAACAGATGAAAGACAAGAAACTGGAAGAGGAGAGGAACAAGAGGTACGAGGAATGGCTCAAAAAGTTGGACGAAGTCAATGTAATCCCGCACTCGGCTAAGGAAAGGGTGAAGAAGTTGGAGGAAGAGTTGTTTCGGCTGAAGAAGGCCTCCGACGACAGTGAGGGACATATGGCCCGCACTTATAGGCGACGACTCGTGGAAAGTGATGAACGGATGGAGAGAATGGAGAGACTCGAGAGAGCAGAGAGAGCCGAGAGAGTTGAGAGAGACAGTGAACTCGCGTTTCCGATGAGCCGTAAGACACAGACAAAGCCTGAACTCCAATACGCCGTCAAATTGATATCAAGGACTACACAGACAAATGAGATCTCAAACAGTGATGTCTCAGTGAATACGGAAATTGACTTCAGGTATGCATTCATTGTAATCTAATCATACAATACCTGTACTCTAATTGACTTTTCTTCCAACACTTTCTTACAAATATTTGAATGAATTATGAAAATCGTATGAATGAATGGAAACTCAATGACAGGCTAATGAGCGCACTGTTAGACAAGTTATTGATTGCGAAGACATCGGTTGGGGTTCAGACGGATTGGAAGAATGATGTGATTGAGACGAGAGATGTAGGCGTTTCCACGGATCGCATATTCAGGGAACGATTCGCTCCATTGCCTACAACCAGATCCATGTCCTCACAGACAGAGGTATCGGCTCTTAGAGGACGTAAAGATGAATCCGTGGCAACAGATCCTCAGATTACGGGTTTGTCTCAAATGTTTCTTTACACTCATATCACATAAAAACATAATTAGATCAGAGTTTTGTTAAGAATCGGTAATAATTTGTAAATTATTAGCTATGAGTTGACATGTTATATGAATGCAAAACTTTGTTATGAATTATATATGAACAGGAAACCTTTTCAATACACAATCAAAATAAATTTATGATTGCAAGAATTTGATTGAATTTTAAATGGCATTGCATTGACAGCATATTTCATGCTAATATAATATGCATTGATATTTGTTTTCAAATCAAATATTTTATTTTGTCATGACTTCGAGTTTATAAAGACCATATAATTATAAAAATACACAATATTTGATTGATCTTAAAATCTATGGCAATATATGGAAAAATGCAAAAATATTTCTATGAGTTTTATATTACTTTATTCATTGTGTTTCACAATAAAGGTTTATATAAGATATATGTTACTAAATTTGTTATTTATAGTTAGAATACTTTAGTTTTAACGTTCAAAACAAAAAAGCAAAAGTTATAAAATATTTCATTTAAATTACAAGTTATAAACCGATAAAAGCCAATACGTTATCAATAAATCAAAGCGTATTAACTTAAATGCATTTTTCATGACTTTCATCAATAAAACCCAATAAATAGTTACACGTTATGTAATAAAAGTGATTATTTAAATCCCATTCATTATCCCTATGTATAGGCCATCGGCACAGAACTCGATCACTTCGTGAGCCGTTAGCCATAAGATTATCATCAGGTGTTCAAACGGACCAGAAGTGGATATCACGCCAAGACGTGGCCTGTGAAGCAAACTTCTCGTCCTTCTCATCGGAATCGGAGGACTCGACTGCCATTTCCGCCTATCCTAAAGGCTTTCACCCAAAAACAGGTCAACTCCTCGACCAGAGCTTACTTTCCCATTACTACAAGTCGGGCGATGAAAGCGGCGCCAAAGTGCTGACCCCTCCCAGAAGTCGCGACCAAACCTTCTACAGGCCGTCCAAAACGCCCGAACCCATCATCGAGGAGTACGGCACGAGTCCGACGACCACATCATCCGATTCGTCCAACTCTGAGGGCGACTACAGCTGCGAGAATGTGAGGGAAATATATCGCGAAAAGTATGTCGACTACAAGACGGCGTCAAAACCCATTCAGAAGAGCTATTATCACATGAGGTCTGAGGAGAAGAAAATTAACTTTGAATTCAATGACCGCCGAAAGCATCCCAAAGAGAAACCAGTGCTGGAAACGGATCTCCAGAACTACGATCGAGAGCCGCATCGCCCGGAGCTCCGACACAAACTCACTGCCGATAAAGTCAGTCATCGATTACAAGTCGTGTTTCGTTTGTATTTATTATATAATTTGCTTTTCATTTCTGTGTTGTCTCAGAGACCGGAATCTCGTCACGACGTCCTACCGCCTCAAATGCCGGCGCCGCCCATCACTCCGCCATCGAAGCCAATGCCGAGCATGAAATCCATTGAAACGCAAACCAACGGTGAGGTGACGACAGTTACAGAGCAGTCGGTGCCGCAGAAGCCTGTTATGAAAGTGAGTCCAAAGGACTTGAAGACTGAGTCCAAGATCACCGTCGAAGTGACAAAAGCGCATAAAAAGGAGAGAAGCGAAGTGACATCACTCACCAAAATGGATGAGGTGTCCGGCAAAATGTCCAGGACCACTCACGTGACCACCAGTCAACACATACCGGCCCCACCACTGCCAGACACCCAACCCATGCGCCGCCTCACCGACCCTTACAAGACGTATAAGACGTCTTCAGTTCGGCCGCAGTCACCGCATAGACCCATATCGTCGCCCATAAGGAAAGCGCAGTCAGAGGTGGACATGACTCCCGTGAGCGGTGTGTCGACCCGTCCGGCGTCGGCCGACGACCTCTCGATGCCCGCCGTCTCCACGTCTCAGATACCGACGACAATGAGTTACGGCTCGTCAATGCATAGCCTGAAGTCGTCGCTCAAGAGTCCGAGCCCTACGTTCCCACGCTATGACTCCACCGACGAGATAACAGTGCCAAAGGTGGGCCGCGTCAGTATCCAGGATCCTATGCATATGGTGCTCATCGCACCGCCAGATAATTTCAATAATAATAATAAATCGCTGGCAATGAGCAGCAAAAATAACGGACTGTTTATGCCGTTAGATAAGTCTCAGTGGAGAGAGACCTCCAGTTCCACTATTTGTACGGAAATGACTACCGATGCCTTCAAAGATGAAGACGGTATGACATTTAATGGCTATAATATCCATTTATTGACAAATTATTTGCTTTAATTTTGTAGGAGTTATTCAAAAACCCAAATCCATTTCCATGTCATCCGACACTCTGATTGAGACCAAAGGGAACGAGTCGTCGGTTAAGACCCGATCGCGAACTGCCCGTCAGTATGGAAATGAGACTCAAGAGAAAGCTATCACTAATGAGACAGCATTTACAGGACCGGGAGGTAACTAATGTATTAAGTAATTATAACCTTTACTACTTTCTATTAATTTCATTCACAAAATGCTATCAAAGATCTGTTAAAAATACACTGTATTTGTACCCAAATGTCAGGAATATTCAAAAACAACATCCCATACATCGAGAGTGAGCCTACATCTCACGCCTATTCACCGCCACACAGGTCCTCATCATCACCGGTGGTGACACTCGTGGATACGCCGGAGTTTTTGAGCCCAGAACCGGACCAAATGCCCAAAATCATGAGCACAAAGATGTCTCGCGAGGAGAGGGGTAGGGAAACGCCTTCTCTGGTCACAGATGTTCGCGCATCTCGTTTCAGACCAGACGAAGATC